GGCAGCACTGACAGTTAGCTCTCAATGAGAATACCGTAACTCAGCTGAAAGAGTAATATATGAAAGCATATGTGAAAAATCAAGGAACTCATGAGCGTTTAATTTCCTATAGGCTGGGAGATTGGGGGAATGCATTTTTGTAGCTGCTTAATGTTTTGGAATTAATGGAAGATGTTAATTATTTGCAGAGAAGATGCTTCCCTCTTCTGGCTTTAGATAGAATTGTTACATAACTCTTTCAAATCTTTGGGAGTTTCCAATGGGGATTGTCCTTGAATTTTTGTCTTTTCTTGGGGTAAATGTAGTACTTGTTTAGCTCTTCTATAACTTATATATGACAGGTTGGCATAACAGTAGGAGTTGATGGTGCTTCTAGGCAGGGACAAGAGATCCCATGGGCAGAGAGACAGATTTCTGTTCTTGCCTGATTGTCCAGTGCTTTGATGGGTTTTTTTAAAAAAAATATTTTTTTTCCCCTAAAGCCAGACCCCTTCTCAAGCCCCTGAGTCAGCCTAAGATGCTGTAAATTTTCATTTCTCAGAGGTGGTTCTGTCTCTGAAGAATGCTTCAAGGAGATTTGTCAAGCTCTCTCCCTCATGGAGTTTTAGTGTGCTTTGTAGATTTCTTTGTTTCACTGTACTCTGATTGTTAATTCCCTTCACATTATTGTTATATTGATTTTTAAAATTGGTTTAAATGCATTCATGTCAGTTAGTAAATGCAATTTTCACTATTAAAAATGAGGTATGAAAACATGTCAGTAATCAACCCTACATTGAGGTGGGACAAAATACAAAGTTTTGCCATGGTAAATGAAGAGGCATTGTGTACAAACATAAATCCATATAGGAGATGCCCCTCTCCAGCACCTTACTAATAGAGTGAAGGCTGTTCTCCTTCCTCTGTGATTCTTGCAGGCTTTCTGTCCTTTTAAAGCATCATAGATTCAAATATATGCTCACAACACTTTTTTAATGTTGAAAAACTGCTTCAAAGAAGAGGTGGGCTAATAGTTGCATTCAGTGAACAGTCACTTCTGCTGCAAATAAGAAAGAATAAGTTACAGCCATAAATTTCAGTCAAATGAAGAAGACTATACTCAGTTCAGATGTATATGTTTCAGCTTATTAAGCCGAAACATACATAAGCTTTGTACTTATACAGTGGTGCCTCGCATAACGATGTTCATTGGTTCCAAAAAACCATCGCTATGGGAAACATCGTTATGCGAAACGCCATTTCCCATAGGAATGCATTGAAAACCAGTTAATCCGTTCCAATAGGAATGGATTGCCATCCTAAAGCGAAAAAACCCATAGGAAACATCATTAAGCAATACAATGTTTCCTCCATTGGAAGCCTATTCAATGCATTTCAATGGTTTAGCGAAGTCAATTTTTGCAAATTTAAGTGTGTCATAAAAGGGTCAAAAACGGTTTTAAATGCTTGGAATAGTTTCTGCACCTTCTAAAACAGGTGCAAACTTAATTTGGCTTTGATCTGACTTTTCGTTAATTTTTGCTGAATTTTTTTCTCCCCCACCAACTTTTGACAGCTGTCAAAATTTGACAGCTCCATTATTTCCTATGGGGGAGAAAAAAATTCAGCAAAAATTAACGAAAAGTCAGATCAAAGCCAAATTAAGTTTGCACCCATTTTAGAAGGTGCTCTGCTGCGTCCAAGCATTTAGAACCATTTTGACCATTTTAAGACACTTTTTAAAATGAAAAAACAAACATCGTTATGTGAAGCAGGGGACCTAAAAATGCATTTGCTATGTGAAGCATGGTCCCAAACTTTGCTAAGCAAAAATCACCCATAGGAAACATCGTTAAATGGTGCATATTATTTTCTTAAAAACCCCATCATTATGCGAATTCATCGCTAAACGAGGCAATCGTTAAGCGAGGCACCACTGTATGTTCCATATGTTTGATGCCCCATTTCCACTTCATCTCAGTGACTGAAGATTTCTTATATTAACCAGTCTGCCGTTATGTCCAAGCTAGACTATTGTTACTAATGCTGCTAAATACAGGTTGGACGTCTAAGATTCTAATTTGTTTTGATTTATGGTTTGGACATAATGGGAGGGCGTCATTAATGTTACATAGCTTTGGGAAGTAATGGTGTGAAGATGCAGAGTCCTGTCCATATGTTGGCTAAAACACTGGAATATTTATGTCTCCCTGAGCTCTTATTTTGGACCCTAATGAGTATAGTTCCACAGCCGCCTCACTGCTGAAATAATGATAAGTAATGTCTGTGATGTGTTATTAGTAAAGCAACTGTCCTTCACCTGTACTTGCCAGCAGCACAAAGTCCTAATGAACAGCTGCTGGGAGAACAATGAAAGCAAGAGGCAAGGCCTCTGTCCCATAAAAGGGAGAGAAGGTAAACTTTGTTGAGTTGATATTGGCAGAGACTTAAAAGCTATCTCAGCCTGCACCTTTTCTTAAGCTCCTTTTTCATTCAGTTGTGGGGTTTTCTGTTCATTTATCTGCCTTGATACTTTAGAAATGTTTTGCTTAGAGGACAATATTCTCAGGAAATCTTGTTGCATTAATAGATCCTTTGATGGTAGACAGAATCATAATGGCAAAAAAATTGGAAGGAAACCTGAATTCTGATTTAAAATGTCTAGCTAAATAAATAATTGGTAGTTCTTGAAATGAATAAAATGACAAATTATAAATGGTTAAAAAGGTGCTACTTAAAACATTATTTTTTTAAAGGATTTGCAGCTTTTCTGAAATGAGAAGTATATTAATTGAGAGGCAGGAAACTTATTCTTTTCTGTCTCAAAATATGAGTAGCACGTTGTATTATCTAAATAACAGAACTGTTAGCATTACAATGTTTTTCAGTCTTTGTCTTATGGCCTTTGCCACCATTGTGCACCGACTGTAGCACATGCAGGGCCATTTGTGGAACATGCCTCCCATATTCTTATCCAGCCTTCTCTCTTTCCTGGGTGCCAGAATTTCCAACAACAATCACCCTGAAATAGTACTGTACTTTTATTCCCAGCAAAGTGCTTAGCTAAATTTTTGTGCTGTAATGGAGAGCTGAACTAAATAAGAAAAGGGGGGAAAAGAAGGAAAATAGAGAGACAGAGCATGCCAGTGGTGTACTGCTGGATTCATACCTATCTTGAAGCAAATGGGACTGGTTTGAGGGGAGAGGAGTTGTCTGAACAAAAAAGAACTTAATGAGTTTGATCCAGAGGGACACAGAGTCAAACTATTTTTGCAGATGTGTTAGTCTATTGCATCGAGAACAACAAATAATTTTATGGTATTTTTAAGATTTGGCATAAGCTTTCATAAATTCTTCTTCTGAGACCTGGAGTCTAGCCTTCTTCCTCATACTATAGATGGCCAATCAACAGCCATTAAGGGTCATTAACTGTGCTTGGGGAAGACAGACAGAAATTTAAAGGGGGAATGTCAACATTAATTTAGGTACATTCAAGCATACACAAGCAGATGGCACACTCAAAGTGACAAAAAAAATTCTTGATTTAAGTCCAGTATAATGGAAGAGTATGATTCTATAAGAGTAACAGGCTGATAACTTTATAAGGGTGCTGCAGTCCCACATTCCAACTTTATAAAAAAAAGTCATATGCTCCTTTACAGAAAACAAAATTAATGGATGTAATAAGGAGATACAAAACATTACAGTTTTATACATTCATTTATCTTCCAATAAATGTGCTATTTTTTCTTGCAATGCCGCACAACATTTTATATTGGACAAATGGGTCAGTCTCTGTGCAAAAGAATTCATTATTGTTATATGCTGTCAAATAGCCTCCAACAAGTAGTGATCCTTAATGGCCACTCATGGACCATTTGTGTGCTGGATCTCTTGCATTTCCATTACAGTTAAACTTCTGTCTGCCAGCTTTGGGTCCTTTAGGATAAACAGATTTATTTTGGTGTAATTTGTCATGGATTATTATCCAGTTCATCTGCCAAAATGCTTTTGTTTTTCTTTGTTTCTATTTTCCTGTTATGGATGCGGAAACAAACTAAGATGGTTTGGTTGTTGTGGGTTTTTCGGGCTTCTTGGCCGTGTTCTGAAGGTGGTTCTTCCTAACGTTTCGCCAGTCTCTGTGGCCGGCATCTTCAAAGGACAGCAAACTGTTTGTTTGATGGTTTGTTTGAAAATAACTAGGGCAAGGGAAGATTATGAAGAAGAGCTTTTGAGGAGTTGTTTTAAAGGTTATTGGAGGATTTAGGGACAATGGCCTAATTAACCAGCTTCAAAACTTTAATTCAGGCCATCAGTTTTAATCAGTGCATGATTTGGTCTTCCACATAGTATGGTAAAGATCTGTAGGGCGTCAGGATTTTGCAAGTAGTTCATGTCCCCCTTCTCCCCTGAATACACCTTCAGTATAGACCTTGAAAGCCAGATAGAGTGGGGTCTTGACTTGAGAACTTAATCCGTATTGGAAGGCGGTTCTCAAGTCAAAA